ATCCCCCAAAATTCATACACTGATGAACACACGGCTCAGTGCATAAAAGCAGTAGTTGAAGTAATCCAATTACTTGACCCAGGGAGTTGTGAGTTCAGTACTTGGCCACAGCGGATATGAACAAAAGAAGCTTGAATAGTTGAGTTACTAAAGGGAAATAACTGAAACTGAGATATCTGGAAGAGGCATGAAACTAGATCAATTTGTTTTAAATGCAGTGTAATTTGTATCTTTCTCTGTAAATTATAATTAAATTTTAAGTTGGCATCCGCTCATATCTTATTAATAACTTTCAATAAAAAGACGTTTTTATTGTGTCTGAAAGTGATTAATTAATAGAATATGTTTTAACAATGTAACGACTATAATTTAAATCTCTTTAACTTGTTTGTTTTACAGAATCTCAATTTATACAGACTTTTAAAGTTTTTCTCCACAGGCACTACAAAATAATTATTCAACTAATAAACTCATATCTTTGAATTAAGTGATATCATCCAATGTATATCTATTTCTTATAATATTGAAACAAGATTTCTTTGTCAAAAAAATGGAAGGTAAGCTTGAATTCATTTCTTATGAGATAAAAAATTGGGGAGCATTTAGCCTTGTACTCAAAGTATGGTAGACATTGATTATTGCATGCACATATATGGAATACTTTATACATTCATGCAATGAGAAAGCTGCTTCATTTTCTCAGCACTCCCATCTTGGAAGTATCTGACAATCTGATGCATTCCATCTTTCCTGAGGTAAGAAATATTATTCTGTTTCTATAGACGTAACTTAATGAAAGTCTGAGGCAAGAGCTTTCAGAAAAAAAAAAAATGTTAGCTGTGGCAGTGAACCGATTTTATTATACAAATTGTCAAGCAAAGAACTCAAGGGCAGAAACCTCAAATTTGTGCCAATTACAAGGAAGCTTCTTAGGTGAAAGGTTCTTCTAAATATGTTCATCACTTATGTACACCAGGCAAGAGCAATGATAAAATGAGAGGACATTCATTACTCTACTGCTGAGTCATAGAGAAGGATTCTCAATTTGTCGTCTTCATATCCTCCCAATTAGAAACATAAAAACATTACTCAAGCACTTGATCCAGACTGTGTGTATATGTGTATGGGTGTGACATTATAGATGCATATACACTCTGTAGATACCTTATTTGTGATTGGTTCCTATTCCAATATAAGCAGTAATCATTTCTTCCAGGCAAAAATTGACTGTTTAACTATGAAAAATATAATAAAGGGTCCCCAGGCCCCTGAAGCCACCTTGTTATTTACATAAATATTCAATGTTGAGGAATTCACATAATGGATTATTGCAAGTTGCATATATTATGGCTTATTCATTAAATGGAATCCAGATTAATTATTCATCTGGACCTTCTTTGAAATTTATGTCTCCTTTTGTTCATATACCATATCTCTCTGTCTCTGTCTATCTATCTCTTTCTCTCTCTTTTCTTCTCACTCTCTTTCTCTATCTCTTATATATATATATATATATATGTAAAAAGTGTATATAAATATAAATAAATATAAGTATGTATAATTATTTATATATTATATGCGCGGTACTTATTAGAAAGCGCTCAATATCAGAGATAGAGCTAACATATTTGGTTGGATAGATGCGATCCAACCAAATATATATATATATATATATATATATATATATATATATATATATATATATTATTATTAAAAATTATATTTTAGTGGATACATGTGTTTCATTTGTATCCACTTAAATATAACATTTAGAATAATAAGATATAATGTTGGACTAAAAAGTGAAAATCAATTAATTTCTTATTGGGATATATAAACCTTGAAAAAAAGATAAATAAGCAATTGAAATGATTAATAAATAAAAATAAAAACTGAGTTTAAATTAATTAATAGTCTAATTCCATTAAAAGTCAAAGCATAAAACAAATTTGCTACTACTTAAAGGGAATCATGCTTCATTTTTGATAATGAAGATTTATTCTTTGAAAATAATTATACTTTGAAGATGTCAGTTTATCAGCAAAACATCAAAGTAGAATATATATATATATATATATATATATATATATATATATATATATATATATATATATATGTATATAATTTCTACTGGTATAAATCATCTATAGGATAAAATTACCCTGAAACTGAACAATTCCAGCAGATTATCAAAAGCCCTCAATATCTTGTTCATAGAGAAATACATACATACAGACATACATACATATATATATATATATATATATATATATATATATATATGTATATAATTTCTTCTGGTATAAATCATCTATAGGATAAAAATTACCCTGAAACTTAACAATTCTAGCAGATTATCAAAAGCCCTCAATAGAGAAATACATACATACATACGTACATACATACATACATACATATATATATATATATATATATATATATATATACGTACATATGTTTGTGTGTGCATTCCATTATATACAAGGTGCTACTAAAGAATTAAGGTGAATCAACTATGAAGAAAATGCCTGTAGAACTATCAAAATAGATTTTAGTCCAATTTTTACACACTGTCTCATAAAACGTAGCTTCAAAAGTCTTTACATATATATATATATATATATATATATATATATACTCACACGATATTGAGTCACCCTTCACGAGGGTGTCATGTGGCACAAGGCCTTTTTAACGCAGGCATTCCCGAGCCATTAGGCTCGGCCAAAAAAAGGCCCATTTGAACCCATATAAACGGGTTCAGGGTCATTTTACCTCCCGAAGGAGACTCCGCCCTTCATGTAGCCTCCTTCAGGTTCCTCCCGTCCGTAGGAAGAGAGTTCAAACTGAGCAGTCTGTTCTAAAGTGAACGACTGACTCACTCATATATACTCACACAGGCACATATATACATACATACATATTTTTTAATGTATTTTTTTAATTTAACATTATTTCTTACCAGTATAAATTTTATTTTTTGTAGGAACACATGTTTGAGTTGCAATCCCTGTTTTTTTATTTTCTTAAACCGTGAAATTAATAACAACTGGCCTAGATTTAGTAGAACTTGTTCATGTTGTATTTTGGGTATATTATTTTGAAATGATTACATCCTGTTTCTATGAGGTTATGCTTATATGTGAACTTCATTCAGTGACAAATTAGAGGCGGATTCATATCTCATCATTCCAACAGTTTCAGCGCTAAAATGTCCTCTGAACACCAATAATCATCGTGGTAGTGATAACACAACTTAGTGATTTTCTTTATTTGTATTGGAAACCTTCTACTAGTAGAATTAGATCAAGCAAAATGCATAATTCATAAATAAATAAAATTATTTTCTGCTGTACATGTTAGATGAAAGATGAAATTTGAACTAAAAAATCGATTTGAAGAAGAACTGAAAAAAAGAGGAATTTGTAATAGAATAGAATAAAATAATGTAAATCATCATCTTCACTCTCATGACCAGGTATGGTTGATGTGTTGCTGCACCTAACTAATTCTCTCTACATATTTGAGTTGCAAGCAGGTGAGGTATTCGTTCATCCATGTTAGGTGTTGAGCAAGTAGGTACAGTGGAAACCATCCCTCTCTGGGTCAAATATTTACTTTCTTCAATTCATGCAACTGTAGAATAGAGTTGAGAAAGATGGCAAATTCACAAGTGTCACTGGGTTTCTGGTTTGTTTAGAAAACAGTTTTGCTTTAACAAACTGAAATGATATAAAGCTATGCAAAAATATTGAACCAGCATTCATCTCTTTTTTAAGTTAAAAAGGATTTCTTTTTTTGCAAAAAGTAATTTTTATTATTACAGACATTACAATTTGGCTTATCTAACTGCATCAATCCTATATGGTGTTAAATAGAACAAGGTCCAGATTTTCTCATTTGGAATTTTTCCACATTCTTCTTGACAGTAATCCCAAAGCTCTTAGTGATTGCATGGTTTTCATTGGAGTCTCTTCCCACTACAATGATATTATTATATTGATATCAGGACTTTGTTCTAGCAAATTTTCCAAAATTTGAATATCTTCATCCACAAGAAATATTTTTATGGCATGTGACATGTGGCAAGGAGCCACCTGAAGAATTTCTCTGCCATTATAGTCTGGCAAAAGATTAGACCGTAGTAAACTAATATAATTTTTGCTGTTTAAGCTTCCATTGACTTTTACCAATTTTTTTGTACTATTACTTTTATTGCAACCCCATGTCATTAAGTGTCCACCATCAGATTTTATCACCTTTGTAGTGAATCTTGCATTCTTTCTTTCTCCTACTGGTCTTACATATTCTCTTGCATCAGAATGTAACTCTATTTTGAATTCCTCACTAAAAATTACTTTTGGCCACTTTCCAGCATCCCTTGTTAGATTCTCTTGACCACTCAATCTTTTTTTCCAATGTTTTTTGGTTAATGATGTTTTTTTTTGCTATACATCTGTTCAAGTTACTTTTTGTAATAATCCATGTGATGTATCAACAGTTAAGATTGCATTCACTTGTCTAGTCATTAATTTTGGATTGACTTCCAAGACTTTCACAAACTTTCTTTCATTTTTCTTGTGTAACTTCTATAAAATGTCATCCAGTTTTTGTTACACTTAAAAGACTTCCAGCAAACATTTTTTGGATGGTTTGAACACTGTTTCTGGAAAGTGATAGCCACCTTGCTATCTCATGTTGATTTGACTTCCCCTTAAAAGTTTTCAAAATTTTAGCCATGATTTTAATGTAAAATGCAAGCTAATGTTCAACAATAACCACTTGTCAAGGCACTGTATACTTATGTTAATAAGATGGAACAATTTCTACTTAGAAATTTACATATTATCATGACTTTATCACCTCTGATCTTTCATGGGCCCAATAGTTTTGCATGACCTTTTTTAGATTCAAGCTGCTTAAAGCTATGTATCGTCTGTTATATGGCATCCAGGAAAATGCATCAAATTATTTTCCAATCCTCAAGGTCAACTGGCTTACTGTCATATCATGCTGAAACACTAAATCCCTTATGATCACAGAAGTTAAGCAACAATGTGCCTGATCAATACCTAAATAGGTGACCACTTGGAAATACCAGGTGCTGTAGGATTGGGTGTGGGTGGTGTAATGAATAATAGCATGGAATTGTTAATTGCAGAGTCAAATTCCAATTTCAGTTGGGTTCATTATATTCACTTATGTGCAAATTGCCTTGAGAAAGGTATGAATTCACCTGCTCTCTCCCCAGATAGGGGTTAATTAGTAAAATTTTTATCACTATATCATTATCAAAAAAAAATTTCTTACAAATCTAAAAACATTTTCTGGCTTTAAATAGCTTACAAATGGTTGATATGCTGTAGAAAATGAATAAATGCATCAGTCCACCAATCAAGGTTCACATACACTACTGATACAGTGAAACAATGTTAACTTCTTAATCAAATAAAGGTGTATAATCATTTGATGTAGCTGGCCTAAAACTTTTGCATGCCAGTGTATAGAAAGAAAGAAAGTGATATAGATATATATGTATGTATCTGCAATCTCTTTCTTTTAGATACAATGCTGCATGCTTCTTGCTACTCTATCACTCTTTCGAAATGTTCAGAAGAGCACTCCATTCTTTAGTTCTACCATTTCAGACCTTTACATCCACAGTGTTGAATTACTCTGATTTCTTCAATATCCTAAATACATGAAGGAAACTCCACTCTGACAGTTTTTCCCCAAGAATTTACACATTTTGGAATAGACTCCCATATAGGTGCTTCCTTGAACACTTTAGATTTGATCTCTTCAAGTCAAATGTTATATATCCTACTTGTACTCATAATCTCGATTTCCTACCACCTTTTCTTTCGTTCATATCACATTCCTCATTCCTTATTTCCCTATTGTAACCCTCTAGTTTGAGTGGCTTTCCTGCCCTATATTCAGTGATATTTAGTAAAACAAAATATATCAGCTTAGAAAGAAATCCAGTTGCTTTTTTTTTTTGGTATGACAACTTTGTTGCTTGATTGCATAAGGCATAAATAAATATATAATTTAGTTTTCTGATCTTTTCTCTTTTTCCTTTTCAGGGATATATAATGTTCAGTTGAATTTTTGGTCCATAATGCAAAATAATGAATGTAGATTAAATATGTCTAAAAAGGATTCAATAGCTTCAGATGTAGGGCGGAATATTTTCACTGCCTATGGAAATAAAGTGTTAAGTGCCAGGAAAATGTCAGCCATTATTTACTCTCTCTGAATTCAGGAATCTTACCCTTAAAGATTACACCCATTCTGAACAACTTCAATCATCAATCAGTCTTTCCTAAGCTGACAGTTCAATACAAACTCATACAGCAATAATCACCCACTTTCTCAAACCCAGTAAAAAATTGGCCAGTGGGTTCTACATAACCTGACTAGTTTTGAACTTAATCCAAGAGTCAGGATCTGTTCGCCATTAACCCACATCCTCCTGACATCAATTTAAACTATAATTAGGAACTACAATTTAGGGAAATGAATATTTCAGAAAATTTCCAAGTTTGCATTTGAAAACAAGAAAATATGAACTTTAAGCAAAATGGTTGCAATACATGGGGAAAAAGTTGTCAGTTTAAACTGACACAAAAGGGATATGAAAACAAGATATACTATCAAATAAACTATGACTATATATGATCATCACCAGTCATAATATTATCATTATAATCATATTCAGTGAAACAGGTAATGGTTATAAGACAAGAAAAAGCCCAAGCCTGTATAAAACCAAGAGTACAAGATAAGAAGATAATGTTTTGTGATTGGTGGAATATGAAGGGTGTCATGAAGTTTAGAATTCTAAGGGAACAGTAAATTCCAAGAAATATTTTTGTCAACTGAAAGCACTATATATTTTGTTGACAAAGTGAACGTCAATTGTCAACTAGAATTGAGTTTTAGGCTTCTATTCCAATGTAGCAATACAATTTCTCACACATCCTAAGGAGATGAATAAATATATTCTTATTTACACTATTTACATTGTTCAGACTGTTGTCCTCATCTTTGTTGTCATATTCACAAAATTTTGGCCATTGTATGCTCCGGCCTTCTTCAGGGAGATATACATTGGAATTTTGAACTGAACCCTTTATTTTGTTCACCGGGGTATATTGTTCTACATCCACATGCCATGCCTTTTCTGGATATCTCAATTTCAGTTATTTCTCTTTTAGTAACTCAACTCTCTAAGTTTTTGTTCACCTCTGCTGTGGCCAGGTATTGAATTCACAACTCTTTGGGTCAAGTCACTTGATTACTTCAATCAACACTTATATTGATTGGACCATGTGATATGAGATATCAAGAAAAGGTATGGCACATGGAACTAGCACAATCTACCCCAGTTGATATAATAAAGGGTTTGGTTCAAAACTGTTATGAATATGACAATAAAGATGACAATCCAAACAATGTAAATAGTGTAAATAGTTACAATACCTCATCTCAGACATATAGACAGAGATAGATTCTTTTTCCTTTTAGATCAATTTAATAACCTTTTTTTTTCAGGAATCTTGTCACCAGCCCACCTTTGAATTGCCAAACATAAAATTTTATTAGTGTTTTTATATAGCCATAAAATAGGATCCTTTGAAAGACTGGCCACCCAAAACTTGTCTTTCCGTTGGTGGAACACAAGTGGACAGGAAAGGGTGGTGGGTCCCCCAGCCAGTATCCATATAATGAATCAAACAGTGAGTAAAGGGCAGTCAGTGAAATGTCCAAGCAGTAGGGGATAATTTTCTGTAGCCAGAACTTAGTGAGAAGTCAGTTAGAAAAAAATTAATTTTCCCATAGCAGAAGGAAGACATTTCTGACTAAGTGAGAAATCATATTTTTTGCTACTTCCCAACTCACCAAGTGTCTTGAAAAGCATTTGTCATTATTGTTTTGTTGACAGCAATCACAGCCCTAATATTGGTTATAGGGACAAATTTGTAGAACATAGCAAGTTCTGGTGTATTTGCATACACCAAACCTTGGATGTCATCAGAGCTGGTGTAGTGATGTGCAGAATAAAGTACAGCAATATAAGATAAATGAATGAAAAGCTTTTGACTCTGAATATTGAAGTTTTACCTATTATACCAACTCTCCTGGTCTTGTTCCATTAAATTAGAACCTTTCTAGATCTTGACAGCATTTCCTGTGAAAAAGTACATCAATTATGAAGAGTTCAAAAATCTTGTAGAGATTTTTTCGCCCTCAAATTTTATGCCTGAGGTACTTATAACTTGCCATATGGAATTATATCATCAAAATTGAAAGAAGCTATTACTTTTATTAAAGTTGTAATTGATCATTAAAATAAGTCAGCTGTTTCAAGTAAAAAAAACAACACTACTTCCTTTGCAACCTTACATTAGACATACATTAGACATACATTGGGTTGACACAATAGTTCAGAGCACTTTTAAAGTGAATTTCAAAGACAATATTTAGATATTTTTACATTGACTTATTCAACCCCATGTGTTCCATTTTGTTCCATTATATTTTGGGTTATATATATATATATATATATATATGTGTGTGTATATATTATATTATATTAATATAAAATATAATTAGAAAAAAGAGTTCACATGTGAAGTTTATATAGTTTATAAAGTAGGGTCGATAAGTTGGTCAATAAAACAAAGTCAAACGAAAGGGTACCAATATAATCAGTAGGAGAAACATTTATTGATATTAACTACATGACAAAAATGAAGCACAGAGATTAAGTTCCAAGTTCGGAATTTTTGAACACAACTGTGTTCTTCATCAGCCGCTGTGAGAAATAAACAGAGGTACGGTGAAGACTATTCAACACTGGTTTTTGAGGTTGGGGAGAGATTGGCTTGAAGTGGAATTGCTAGGAAAAATCTGTTCCCTGTTTGATTTCTCACTGTTCAAAACTTTTTCTGAAAATAACCTTAGATTTATAAATTTTGATTGGTGATGGGAGGATATATAATATATATATATATATATATATTACACTATTTGTGTATGTATATGTCTATATTAGTAACCTGCATTGTTATGTTGATAAACATATATATAGTTTACTTTAGTAATTAGAATATATATATATATATATATATATATATATATATATATATATATATATAGATAGATAGATAGATAGATAGATAGATATTAGGTCAGAATAAAATTTTGTAATGTTTTTAAGTGAGTTTGAAAAACAATATGTAGATATTTGTACATAGATTTATTCAACCCCATATGTGCCACTTTGTTCCATTATATTTTGGGTAACATACATACATGTACACACACACACACACACATATATATATTACACTATTTGTGTATGTATATGTCTATATTAGTAACTTACATTGGTTACATTGATGAATATATATTATATTTAGTTTACTTTACTTTTTAGAATATACATATATATATATATATATATATATATATATATATAGATAGATAGATAGATAGATAGATAGAAGGCCAGAAAAAAATTTTGTAATCTTTTGTAAGTGAGTGTCAAAGACAATATGTAGATATTAGTATATATATTTGTTCAAAAATATATGTGCCATTTTTCTCCAATACCTTTTGTAATCTTTGAGACAACTTCATGACTTCATCCTCCAAGAAGTTGGCACCTCTTGGTTTTTAAAGGCTTCAAGAAAATTGAAGTCCTTCACACTAAGAGAATTTTGTAGGAATTGAAATAAGTGGTAAACTGAAGGTTCAAGGTCAGCAGGTGTAGTAGGACATCCCAGTCAATCTTCATTAATTTCTGACAGGTCTGCAAATAGTCTGGCATTGACCATTCCAATTTGCCCATTCTGGATAATTTGTACCAACTACTGTATTTAATTAGTCCAACAAGGAACAGTATATATCTAAATTTAACACGATGCCCTTCCAATCCCACCAGGCAGACAGACTGCATCACATTCTTCCAATGTTGATTTAATAGAGGTTAACAGTTTCTCATTTCCTTTTCTAAATTTTCACTCTACATTGTTTTAAACAATCAATTTTGCAATTCCTGCAATCATTCTTTTGAAAAATGGGTTGTGTTTTGTGTTT